TACCAACCCTCCTTAAACTGTTCCATGAAATAGAAAGGGAAGGAAAACTGCCTAACACATTTTATGAAGCCAATATTACTCTCATCCCAAAACCAGACAAAGATACGTCCAAAAAGGAGAACTATAGGCCAATTTCCTTAATGAACATCAATGCAAAAAACCTCAACAAAATAATGGCAAACCAAATCCAACAATGCATTAGAAAGATCATCCACCATGACCAAGTTGGCTTCATCCTAGGGATGCAGGGGTGGTTCAACATATGTAAATCTATAAATGTAATACAGCAAATTAATAGAAGCAAAGACAAAAACCACTTGATCATCTCAACAGATGCAGAAAAAGCCTTCAACAAGACCCAACACTACTTCATGATAAAAGCTCTAAGAAAACTAGGAATAGAAGGAAAGTACCTCAACATTATAAAGACTATATACGACAAACCTACAGCCAACATCATACTTAATAATGAACAACTGAAACCATTTCCCCTAAAATCAGGAACAAGACAAGGGTGCCCACTATCCCCACTCCTATTCAATATAACACTGGAATTCCTAGCCAGAGCAATCAGGCAAAGAAGAAACAAAAGGAATACAAATAGGTAAAGAAACTGTCAAAATATCCCTATTTGCAGATGATATGATCCTATACCTTAAAGACCCAAAACACTCTACCCAAAAACTCCTAGATACCATAAACAGATATAGCAAGGTGACAGGATACAAAATGAACTTACAAAAATCATTAGCTTTTCTATACACCAACAACAAACAAACTGAGAAGGAACACATGGAAACAATTCCATTTACAATAGCCTCAAAAAAAAAAAATCAAAAACCTAGGAGTAAACTTAACAAAGGATGTGAATGACCTCTTCAAAGGAGAACTACCAACCCCTGAAGAAAGAGATCAAGGGAGACTACAGAAGATGGTAAGATCTCCTGTGCTCATGCATTGGTAGAATCAACATAGTAATAATGGCCGTATTACCAAAAGCAAGCTACATGTTTAATGCAATTCCCATCAAAATCCCGATGACTTTCATCACAGAGGTTGAAAAATCTACCCTAAAGTTCATTTGGAAACACAAGAGACCACGAATAGCCAAGGCAATACTCAGCAAAAAGAGCAAGGATGGAGGTATCACAATACCCAACTTCAAACTATATTACAAAGCAATAGCAATAAAAACAGCATGGTACTGGCACAAAAACAGACATGAAGACCAGTGGAATAGAATAGAGGACCTGGAATTGAATCTACACAACTACACCCACCTTATTTTTGACAAAGGTGCCAAAAATATACGATGGAGAAAAGACAGCCTCTTCAACAAATGTTGCTGGGAAAAGTGGTTATCCGTGTGCAAGAAATTGAAACTAGATCCATGTTTATCACCCTATACTAGTATCAACTCAAAATGGATCAAGGACCTTAATATCAAACCCAAAACTCTGAAGTTATTACAGGAAGGAGCAGGAAACACTCTGGAACTAATAGGTATAGGCAAGGACTTCCTCAATAGAACCCCAGCAGCTCAGCAACTAAGAAAGGATGAACAAATGGGACTTCATTAAATTAAAAAACTTCTGCACAACAAAAGAAATGGTCTCTAAACTGAAGAGACCACCCACAGAGTGGGAGAAAATATTTGCCAGCTATACATCAGACAAAGGACTGATACCAGAATATACAGGGAACTTAAGAAACTAAACTCTCCCAAAATCAAAGAACCAATAAAGAAATGAGCAACTGAACTAAACAGAATTTTCTCAAAAGAAGAAATTCAAATTCAAATACATGAAAAATGCTCACCATCTCTAGTCATAAAGGAAGTGCAAATCAAAACCACAGTAAGATTCCACCTCACCCTTCTTAGAATTCCATCATCAAAAACACCACCACCAACAGGTGTTGGCCAAGATGTGGGGAAAAAGGAACCCTTGTACACTGCTGGTGGGAATGCATGCTAGTGCAACCACTCTGGAAAAAAATATGGAGGCTTCTTAAAAATCTAAACATAGATCTGCCATATGATCCAGCAATCCCACTCCTGGCACCAAAGGAATGCAACACAGGTTACTCCAGAGGCACCTGCACATCCATGTTTATTGCAGCACTATTCACAATAGCCAAATTACGGAAACAACCAAGATGCCCCACTACTGACAAATGGATCAAGAAAATGTGGTATTTATACACAATGGAATTTTACTCAGCCATGAAGAAGAATGAAATCTTATCATTTACAAGTAAATGAATGGAACTGGAGAACATCATTCTGAGCGAGGTTAGCCAGGCTCAGAAGACCAAAAACTGTTTGTTCTCCCTCATATGCGGACTTTAGATCTAGGACAAATGTAGCAATGTTGTTGGACTTGGATCACATGACAAGGGGAGAGCACACACGGGAGGTATGGGGATAGGAAGAAAACCCAAAACATGAAAGCATTTGATGTCCCCACTCCAGAGGAACTAATACAGAAACCTTAAAGCAACAGAGGTCAACACGAGAAGGAGATCAGGAGCCAGTGTAAAGATCAGTTAGAGATGAATCAACTAGGGATGTAACACATTTGTACATGGAAGCAATCCTTAACTAGCACAAACACTTTATCTTCCTTATTATGCTTACGTCTTCTCTTCAACAAAATTAGAGATAAGGGCAGAACAGGTTCTGCCTGGAAGCAAGGGGGGTGTTGGGGGAGAAGGTGGAGGCAGGGAGCAGGGGGGAGAAATGACCCAAATAATGTACGCACATGTGAATAAATGAATAATAATAATAAAAGAAAACAAGATACTACTTCATACTTGTCAAGAAGGCTACAGCAGGCTCATGCCTATAATCCTAGCTGCTCGGGAGTCTGAGATCAGAAGGATCATGGTTCAAGGCCAGTCTGAGCAAATGGCTTATGAGACCCCCATCTCCAAAATAACCAAAGCAAAATGGACTGGAGGTATGCTCAAGCAGTACCGTACCTACTTTGTAAGTGCAAAGCCACAAGTTCAAATCCCAGTTCCACCAAAAAGAAGGAAAAAAGAAGTTTTGAAGAAACATCTGTATACCTATCTTCTTATCAGCATCATTCAAAAGAGCCAAAGGGTGGAAACACCGAAAAGTCCATCAACAGATGAATGAATAAACAAAATGTAGTGTGTATGTTACATCATGAATAAAAATGTTCTTGCTATTTAAAGGTGAATATGTTTCTCTGTGAGCATAGGTAGATAAAGGAATATTATTGGAAGGATACTCCAATGCATGCTACGACATGGATGAATCATGAGGCCATTATGTTAACAGAAATGATTCAGTCTCAAACTGGACTAGATTTAAGTCACTGGACTGAATATAATTTCACTTATATGCAGTACCTAGAATCATCAAATTCACAGAGACAGAAAACAGAACAGTGGATGCCAGGAGCTGAGGGGAGAAAGGAGTAATTCTTGTTTTAATGGATACAGTTTCAGTCTGGGAGGGCAAAAATGTTCTGAGGATAGCGGTGGTAGTTGCATGCAATGTGAATGCACTTAACTCCACTGAATTGCACACTTAAAATGGCAAATTCTGTGCTGTATATATTTTATAGAGAGACAGAGACACAGAAAAAGAGAAAATTTTCTATAATATCCAGGTAGATAACTGACATGTTCCATGGAGAAGGCACTAATGGCTGGAGGTGTGGCTCAAGTGGAAGAGCACCTGCCTAGCAAGCACAAAGCCCTGAATTCAAACCCCAGGACTAAAAAAAGCTGTTTTTTTCAAAAAAAAAAAAAAAAAGGAATTATCAGTGTGGAATTGGCTGTGCCTGTAGCAAAATAAGCAAGAACAGTTTAAGGAAATAAAAGGAATAAATACCTAGTTTTTATGCTTTAAGACCATTTCTAATAGGAAATCTTTAACAAAATGATTTCACATTCTTCAAAGTAACTAACAAATTTTATTAATGGCTCACAGAATAAAATCTGTGGGACCCTATGTGACTATTTCATAGTGAGATTAGGAGTGATACTAAAAATCACAAAGTGAGTTCCTACAGGAGAAATGAAAAAGCCTATAATTTAGTTTTAAAGAACATGTCATGCTAATAAAACCCAGTAAGAAAAAGAACAGCATAATTAAGTTAGACTTGTAATCTAAGAAGTACCACAAGCCAACAAAATAAAAATGGAAGCAGAAACTACTCCACAAATTTTGGTGATATATGAGTTCATGGAAGGGAAGCAGAAAGGGGGAAAATATTACTAAGTACCTTCTGAGTGTCAGGCACTACTGAAGGGTTCAAAAAGACATGGTTCCTGTCCTTTTGACACACAATAATCTTTAAAACAGACTCACTAACTCCCTCCTTCCCCTGAAATAGTCCTTTAGTCTTTTGCCAGGTGTCAGCTAAAAGGTCCTTTTGTGGAAGCTTTTCCTTTCTCACTCTAGAGCAACCTTGAAGTAACTCCCTTTCCTTTCTTGACAGCACTTTTTACAATCTGTAATTATCACTATTACAATATTATGTGATTATGATTACTAGCAGTCCTAATCCAAAAATATGAAATATGAACTGCTCCCAAATCTAAAACTTTTTTGAGTGCTCAGATTTTGGAGCATTTTTTATTTAGGATTATGAAATTAGAAATGCTCAACCAGAAATATGAAAAATTCAAATATGCAAAACAACTCTAATATCAATGAGCTAAATGACCTTCCTTTTCTAATAACAAAAACCTCCAAAATTTGAAACACTTCTGGTTCCAAGCATTTCAGATAAGGGATATTCAACCTGTATTATTTTCTCCTGTATATGTGAGCATCATAAGTAAAGAAATCCTACCTAGGGCTGGCGGAGTGGCTCAAGTGGGAAAGCACCTGCATAGCAAGCAAGAAGCCCTGAGTTCAAACCCCAGTACCGCCAAAAAGTGATACATACACACACACACACACACACACACACACAATCTAGAACCTGAAAATGTGACTTTATTTTGGACTGGAGGTTTGGATCAAGCAGTAACGTAAAAATGCCTGCTTTGCAAGCACAAAGCCCTAAATTCAAATCCCAGTCACACACACACAAAAAAAGAGAGAAATCCTATTGTCTTCTTCATTGCTATATCCTCGGTGACTGGCACAATATGTGACCCCTGGACATATTCCAATACTTACTAAATAAATAAAAAGAACTGTTAGTAGGATAAGCTTCCAGGTGACCAACATCTCCTCAGGCTTCTTAGCCCCAAGCCCCAGACCTGGATTCTTTGTTTATGTAGGAGTATACTGGGTACTCACCTCTACCTGAGTAACATTAATAACCACCACCACCACCATCAGCACTGCAAGTAGACAGCAAAAAAATCGTAGTTTGAAGAAAATGGTCCACATTGTCTGGCTGTGTCCTGATCACCCATGGCCGACACCATGCTACCTTTACTCCTCAAAACTCCATGTCTTTGTTTTCTTGTGCTGTATATAAGCCTTCACTTTAATTTGCTTCTATTCTGCTAGTAGTCTTAAGACTAATGTAGAGAAGAGACTGCAGTTGACTCACGAAGCATATTTCTTTTCAACAAACTCCTTCAAAGAAGAGAAATAAGAAAATATTACCAATCTGAAGCAGGGTGCAGCAGGAAGAAAAACACATTTCCTCTTCCTGAACCTTATCTAAGGTCCAGTCACAAGGAGAGAGTAAAGAGCCAGAGCATAGTAACATTCCATTTCCAGACAATTGCCTCAGTGTTGTTCCCTAAACCCAGGCTTCTAAGCAATATTTGCCCTACTAACTTAGGTTTTAACTTTAAAGAGAGCAAAAAAATGTCAGAAATTTTGAACTAAAAGTAACTTAAATTTCTGCAGCGATCTAAGTAAATCAAATCATTTCCTTTCCCTTATAAGGTTATAACATTACTATATTAATATATTAAAGAGTATTTAAAAACCTTGTATTTTTATGAGGAGCTCTAGGATGGTGTGAAAACCAACCTCACACTCTCTAGAATACAAGGAGTGCCAACTCTCTCTACGGCCAGAGACAGAAAACACCTTTTGGGTTTCAAGCTCCCCCACCACATACATGGTTCTCCCTCAGCTAAGTAACAAGGTTCAGGAAGAAAGACACCTGCCATCCTGAAGATGTGGAAGAAGAAAGGTAAGCTTGTGGAGTAGGTAACGGGATCCCCCAATTCTTCACCTGTTATAGGTAGAGGAATTCAGTCAGCTCCTCAGAACTGTTCTGCCATCTGAAGAACTCAAAATGCTCACCCCAAATGCTATCTTGATACAAGCAATCAAAGACAGTATCAGTCTTTTGTTTTCAGGGTGGTTTTCATGGAGGCAGATATAGAGGCAAAGGTGGAAAAAGTGCATAATCATGGTGCAGAATATCTCAGAATAGCTAAGCTGCAATGACATTCCCTCAGCTTTGTGCCGAGCTTGGCAAGCCTCCTATTCTCTCAGTCCTCTATTCCCCTAGTCTAAACCACTTCCATGCCACAAGGACATGCTAACCCTTCCCCAACCCAGCATCAGAAAAGAATAAGGAGCTATTCCAACATGCTCTCCATCCTCAGAATTCTCATACCACTTATTTTCACTTCTCACTTGATCTCCATTTGTATTTCTTATCTCTCCAACTAAACTATACCAATTATGGCTATACTTAAAAAAAACAGAAACCACATATCAGAGAAAAAGTAACTTAATGACAATGTATCATACTTTTTTAATTGCCTCATAGTACTTAGCTAATTACATGGTATACATTGACTCAGCAATCTATCAACAAATAATTACAGAGATATACTCGGTACCACATACTGTATAAGAAATTCCCCTAGACAAGAGGTAGTTTCCTCCTTAAGGAGAAATTGCTTAGGGGAAAAGCCCTTGCCTAGCATGCATGATTATATGATTTGCCAGCACTGAAAAAAAAAGAGAGGAATAAATCCATCATTCCTAGAAACCTCCATACAGATATCGGAAAGACTACACTTAATCATCTCATGTTTCCACAACACTCTTCCTCTCCAATACCAAAGCACTTGCCTACCCTGAAGTGCCTATAGATTCTGAGAAGGAAACAGCAATGAAATAGAAGATAACTCTATCTTCAGACCCTAACTGTTCTGCTACAGAAATTCTTCTCTAAGTGTTGTCCATAAAAATCCTAGGTTTCACCATAAGAAAGGGACTAAGGTAGAAAGAAGAAAAATAGAGATGAACCATATTGGGCCACATGGAAGTGCCACAAGGAAACTCCCTGTGTAGCTATCTTAACAACCAAAAATGTCATTTTTTTCCCTCTTCTTTTCTTATACAAAATTGGAGAACAGGAGGATGAAACAGATCCTACAAGGAGTGGGGAGGAAGTCTGGCACCAGTGGGAGTGGGGAGGAGGTGAAGGAAGGTGAATATGTTGCAAATACTGTATACACATGTATGTAAATGAAAAAATGATACCTGTTGAGACTATTCCAGGAATGGGTGGAGGTAGGGATAAAGGAGAGTGCTGGAGGGGGTGAATTCAAATACAATATATTTGATATATTGTAAATGCCACAATGCACCCCCATGAAGCAAACAATTAAAAAATAATTCACAGGTTTCCCTGATGATCAGAGTGAAAGAAGACCAAAGATGAATAGCAACAGGAATTTACTGCATCATGGGCAGGTGTAGTCTGAGAGTTGTGTGGATACCAGCCATTTAGAGAACATCACTGTGATTCAGAGCCAGTCAGCAGCAGTACAGTGGTGTACAGTGATATACATAGATGGTAAGGACAGCAGACATCAAAGGAAATACAGTGTCAGGCAGCAATACAAGAAGACTTCTGATGACATTAATTATGCCAGAAAAAGGCCAGACTTCCTGTTATGAGCAAGTGAAACACTGACATTTGAGAGATCTATCTGAACACCTAAGTACGTATTGCTTGAGGGATAATAAAATATATAATAAAAAACTAGATAAGCTAAGAGTTAAGATAGAGCTAAGAGTTTTTTTATATAATAAAACTCATAGTTGTCACCCCTGGGCAGTTTTTGTTTTCTTCTTACCTATATGTCCTAATTTTTCATCACGAAATAAAAATTAGGTTTGGTGGAGTGGCTCAAGTGGTAGAGTGCCTGCCTAGCAAGTGTGAGGCCCTCAGTTCAAACCCCAGGACCACCAAAAAAAAAAAAAGAAATAAACATTAGCTGGAAGTATGGCTCAAATGGTAGAGTGCCTACCTAAGCAAGCACAAAGTCATGAGTTCAAATCCCAGTGCCACCAAAAAGAAATAAAAATCACAAAGAACAAAGCTAATTTCTAAAGGTAAGAATTAAAGATCAGATATAAGGAGAAGCAAAGCATTAAACTGTATTTGGAAAAACAATTTCACTTAAAATGAAAGTTTCTAAGTGGAAAAAGAAACCTGTAACAAGTTTCTGTTATTTTTCTACAAATATAAAACCTAGACATTATTGTAAGAAAGTCATCTGGAAAGGAAGCAGGAAACTATTATTTGGATCAATCACCTTAGAATCTAGTTGGAATGATAATACAGGATAGGAACGACTCCAGAAAAAAGGATTTTTGGATCAATCAAAAGAATAAAATATATAATTCAATGTAATTTACCTTGATTGAAAATTTCCCAAGAAGAAATACTTCTTGGAATTAAGAAAATAAGTTTACATTTAACTGTCCTTCCAACATGAAATCCTGAACTCAGGCAATCATAACCAGCAGCCCTTCTTTTCTTGCCACATTTGAAACTCACATTGATGCTTTTTTCATTTTATGTCATTCTTACTCTGTAACAGAAATAAGCACGTGATAAAAAGGTTAAGATACCGAAAATGAGATAAAGAAAACATTAGAAATTAAAAGTGAACTTAGGGGGAACAGGAATATAATGGAGGGGGCAAACTTGTTCAAGATATACTGTACATGTACGTGGAATTATCACAAGGAAGTCTCCTCACGTTATTAAAGTAGGATAAATAAAGTTAAAATTTTTAAAACAGTAAGCTTTATAGGCAGGGAGGTATGCACAGATTCAGTATGATATAGTCAGAGTAGTGATAATAGGAACATTTCTTTTTTCTTCTAATAAAAACAGCAACTGGGGGCTACAAGCAGTGGCTCAAGTGGTAGACCGCCCATCTAGCAAGTGCCAAATTCTGAGTTTAATCTTCAGCATCATCCAAAAAAAAAGAAAAATGGAGCTTGGGATGTAGTTCAGTGATAAAGCACTTGCAAGGCTCTAAGATCAATCCCCAGCACCAAATAAATAAATGAATAAACAACTGCACTGGGTGCTGTGGTGCATGCCTATAATCCCAAACACTTGGGAGGCTGAAGCAGAAGGATCTTAAATTCAAAGCCAGCCTAGGCAACACAGCAAAATCCCATCTCAAAACAAACAAGCAAGAACAGTAACTGGCTATCTATACCCATGAACTCCTATTAACTTCAACCTGAAAAATCACTCTCAGATTTTAACTGAAGGTCAAAATCTTAAATAGCAGTATAACTGAAAAAAAAATAAGTCAAAGATAAAAGTTCCAAATATTATTTTTCTTAAAGACTACATAACCACACAACTCAATGATTCATCCTACCAGTATTTTAAAAAGTAATCTTATGTTATTTTTTTAAAAGTTATATTTCAAGACATGTAAACTTGAATGGTCTTGTTTTCAATCTTTGAGAAGTGTCAAAACACCAGTTATTCATGCTTTACTTTTTTTTTTTTTTTTTGGTGGAACTGGGGTTTGAACTCAGGAGTTTGCACTGACAAAACAGGTGCTCTCCCACTTGAGCCACACATCAAGTCCATTTTGCTGTGGTTATTTTGGAGATGAGGTCTCATGAACTATTTGCCCAGGCTGACCTGGAACAGTGATCCTCCTGATCTCAGCCTCTCCAGGTGTGAGCCACTAACACCCAGCTTCATGCTTTACTTTTATGTGCAGGGAATAAGCAAAAAATAAAATGCATGGTCTACCTTGCAGATGGAGCCCAAAATTTGTAGGGACTGTTGTGCCACATTTTGATTAAGACTACTTCCAAGTTCAAGATACATACTGGTCAATCTAATTTCTTTATGGCTTGTAACAACAACCCTAGACTACCATTAAGTATGGACTTCTATCCCTAGCTCACAAGACAATCACAGTGGTTACTTGCATTACTAGGAATTACAATTGTCAGTAACACAAATGAAATACCTGAGTTAAGCACTAAAAGAAAATTTAACAGCATATCCATTGTCTTTAGGAGTTCATGATTTCAGGCAACCATTTCACAAAAACAATATATCGTAAGACATTTATACATCTCCAGTTTCTGAAAGTTCTCCAGTTTCTGAAAGTTCCTATCTTAAATATTCTGTTAGCCACATAAATGTAATTGTGTAAGTCAGAGCGAATATCTAGAACTTTAACTCAGAATACACATTAAGAGTTAAAAGCACAAATTTACCTGTAATATATCCAAACATAAATGGTTATATTTCAAACTTTCCAAAGAAAGAACAGTCGTGTTTCACAGGGTACTGAGTAAACTCCTGATATTTAAACAAGGCAGGAGCTACAGGAAGAATTGGAGACCCATCCAAGGCGGTAACAATGATGGGTAAACCAAATAAAGTCCATCTTGAAGAAAGATGAAGTAGGAACAGTAATGAGCAGGACTGGTTTCCAACAGATTCCACTTGTCTTTCATGTACTTCCACCTCACATGCCCAAAGTGCTGACTCACCTAGACCTTCTTTTGCCCTTCTTCTAAAGCAGGGCCCACTGCATTCATGGAGATCACATGGCAGGTGGAGAAGTAATAAACTTACTAAGGGCTAAGTGCTATAAGAAAAAAACAAGGGCATATTGATAGATCATGACCCTCAACCCTGCATGCACACTAATAATCATTGTAGAAGCTTTTAAAAATACCAGTTCCTGGGCTCCACCCAACCAATTAAATCAGAATCTATGGGAGTAGGCTTGAGAAACCGTTTTTATAAAAGGTCCCCAGATGATTATAATAAACAGTCAAGTAGGAGAACCACTAGTCCACGCTGGCCAGGGAGTGTTACTTCTATCAGTTGGTAAGGAATGGCCTTTCTGATAAGAGGTTCGAATTGTAATTTACATTGTCCTCTCAGGACAACCGGCCTCTGGAGCAATGGGGACATTCACCCCCCACTTTGGTGACCTATCCCTTCATTTCCTTTCCCAATAACAAGGAACAGCACTTTATCAACCCCAGAAAGACTGTGAGGATAACACACATGGAAAAAAGATGCTAAACACGGTCAAAGGAAAGCAGAACCCAAACACTACAGAGGAATAGTACGCCGCTGCCTCCCGGGGTCCAATCAGACAGCTAATTATTCGAGTTCTGGGGTCCCGCCAGCTCCAAACACACCCCGATGTTCCAAATGATAACTAACAGCAGTGAGGAGGGGGTAGGCCCATCAGAGCAGAGTGATTCTTCATCTGTTAGGAAAGGTGGCAACAATCTCCTTCGGAGTTAATAGTGAAAAGTGAGGACACACAATTTCATACCGATTTTGCATAATCCGAGACCCCCTGTTAGCCTCACCAGCCTGCTGGCCTTTGCTCAAGCAGAGATGGGCAAGAGGCCAGGGTCTCCACCTCACACCTTGCAAAGTCACACTCGTTTCTCCTCTTGCGACCCGAGTGTGATGTCCCCAAACTGCAGCTCGGAAGGCCAGAGCAGTCCGGCGTGTGACAGCACGGCCAGCCAAAAGGCAGCTGGTGCCCACAGTAGCCGAGCTGGGAGAGGAGCACGCTGAGTGCTGCACCGCGGGGGACTGGAGGCGCCCGAGGGAGAAAGGGGTCTCTATGTCCCCAAGGTCCCAGCTACACGCCAGCTGCAAGCCGCGAAAACCGAAGGTAGAGATGCTCGGCCCCGCCCGTCCCCTCCGCGCGGCAACTCGGGTACACGGGCCCCGGCGCCCCTAGGCTGCACCACCCCGGCAGCGGCGGGAACTCGGGAGGCGTCGCGCGGAGAGAAGGGCTCGGAGCCGAGGGACGCGCTGGGCCACAACCCGCACTCACCTCGGGTCGCACCGCCCGCCGTGCGCTCGCCCGCGACCCAACGCGGACGCTGGTGTGTAAACGCTGCGCCAGATAGTTCTCAGGATGCCTGATCTGCTACGTCGCCTCACCCCCGACCCCAGGCTACGATTGGTCGAACTCCGGGCGGGGCGGGCTGAGGATGTTGATTGACAGTCGCGCGCGCCCAGCGCAAAGCCCAGAAGCCAGGACGCGGAATTGGCTCTTGTCCGGCTCCCCACTGCTGGGGTCCTCTTCGCGAGGTGACCTCGGCAGCTCTCGCCTGGAGCCTCTGCTCTGACTCTTCTGACCTCACTGCTCAATTACTCGTGACCTTCGGACATAAGTGTCCCCCTGAAGTATCGCCATAAGGTCACCATTGCCGCAGATGGCCCTGCCTTGGTCTGTCTTTTCCTGTGCAGTGAGATTTCACAGAAGCATGGAGATTGCAGGCCCTTGCATTTTTTCCTTGCTTTGAAGTTGGTTAACTTGTAGATGCACTTGAAATAGCCCATTCCTTTTACTCTCGGCTATACACAATGTGGATCTCCTGGCAAAAAAATGCCAGAATACTTTTTCCCTCCATTTTGGGCAATCCTATCTTGGACATCTTCTAACTGGGTCAGTAGCAGTTTGGTGAAATTGAGGAATTAAGAGGAGTCGTTAGAAGACAATAAGAAGCACTTGCTCAGAAAGCCAGACAGGATCCCTGGCTGCTGTTTCTCAAAGTGTTTGGAGCCACAATGAGGTTAACCTATTTATCTGAGTAAAACAGGCCCAAAATAGTAGACCTGCTCCAAACTATTATCCCAAGGTTAAAGAATTAATATAAATTACAACTGACAGTAATTAATTTTATATTCATTGGCCACAGCGGACTCTGTGTGCTCATTCAGATGTTTTTTGGAGCATGCATGAGTAACTAGAGGCACTAATGGAATAATAGAAAACTCAGCCATACCACAGTCTCTTTTGAAGTAACCATTTCATACTCCTGTGGAGGTTAAAGCCTTTCAGGGTCATAAAAGGTGGCTTCCTTACCTCTGTGTCTAACAAAGAGACTATATGCTAAAATCTGCTTTAATTAGGCTTTATCTTCCATTAGGTAGACCCTCCTCCACAGTTTGGCTAACAAGTGGCAAATACACAAAGCATGATTTCCAAGTCATGGCTGTGGACCTCATTAACAGCATTCATTCCCAGGCACTCATAACCCTAACGTATTTGGGTGATTTTACATACATACGTGTGTGTGTTTGCATGTGTGTATATATATTTTACAATCATAGGCACAAAGAAAAGGCCAGAAAGTTCTGTCCATCTCTACTGGATTCTTAAAAGGTTTTTCACTGCAAAGTCACCACACTTCCAACTCAGCACATCCAATACAGAATACTATCAGGCAAACAACAGATATTTTGGATCCTAGCCTGCCTTGGTGTGGACAGTAGGTTTGCCTCTTACTATCAGTACCATCCAAGGCAATTTCCTTGACCGCTCTGATTGCATTCTTTCTCTAGAGAAGATTAGGGGCAACCTCACCTGCAGTTAGAAATACATGAGATGACAAATGAAAAGTACTTAGCTCAGAGTCCCAACTATCTCTCCCTCTCCCTTTCCCGTCCTCTGTGTGTGTATGTGTGTGTGAGACTGAGGTTTGAACTGAGGGCTCCTCAATTGCAAACCAGGTGCTTTACTGCTTGAGCCACACCTCCAGTCCATTTTGCTCTGGTTATTAGAAGATGGGATCTCACAAACTATTTACCTGGCCTGGCCTTCAACTTCAATCCTCCCAATCACAGCCTCCCAAGTAGCTAGGATTACAGGCTTGAGCCACAGCACCCAGTCAAGAAACACAAATCTCTTGTTCTTGAATTCCATATTTCAGGTTGTCAGAGCATAAGATTTTTTGAAAATTTCATTTAAAATAATCTCATCTTGAGAGTAAAAAAATGAGAACGAAAAGTTTATATGTATGATATGAAATCAGAAGGAACTGGTTATTTCCAACTTCTGCAAAAATGACTTCTGCATTAGATACTAATATTACTAAACCTTATTTGTCTTTGCAAAATAAAGTATGAATCTTTTTTTTTAAATGAGGCAATGTGCTTTGACAGAGTCTTAAGGGTATATAAGTAAAACAAATTAAGCCCATTTCTGATGCAACTAATTTAAGGGCTATTCACCAACAAATGTGGCTCCATCTCTGAGGACAAGAAGCTTGGTGCACACGGACTCCTAAATCTAAGTCAATTCCTAATTTGGTTCCTTCCTTCCCTTCCTATGAACAAGTGACCAAATTTGGGCCCCATGGATAGTCAAACCATTATTCAAAATAGTGACCATGGGTAGAGTGGCTCAAGTGGTAGAGCACCTCCATAGCAAGTGTGAGGCCCCAAGTTCAAACCCCAGTACAACAGAAAAGAAAGGAAAGAAAATGGTCACTGCTGACACATTACTACTAACCACTTTATTCTAAAAACATCCTGAATCATGAGACGATACTGCCAAGGGTGGGAAACTAAGGAAAGAAATAATAGTTGTTACGGCTGCTCTGTTGGTCTATGCCCTCAAATTAATGGACATATTTATTTTTCTTTTTATGAGTTTATTATTAAGTGATACATAAAAATATACATATTTATGGGATACCATGTGATATTTTGATACATGTATAGTATACGTTGCTTAATGTTTAAATCAGGGTAAAAATACCTATTTCCATTTTCTTGAGACAGGGTCTCACTATGTTATCTATGTTACCCAGGCTGACCTTGAATTTGAGATTTTCCTAGTAGCTGGGTCTGGGTCTACAAGCAAGTGCCATTGTGCCTAGCTATTTTCCTTTCTGGAATTCATAATTGATGGCAGGTAATTCTACATCTATGGTTCAGAGGGAAATGATCATTTTTTTTCCTTTGCTATTGATTTCTCCATCTCAGAATTCCTCAAGTCAAATTCCATCAATAATCAGAATAACATCAGTAGCTTTTTAAAAAAAAGTAGGAATTTTGAGGCTGTGGCTGTAGCTCATAGTAGAGCACTTGCCCAGTATGCACAATCCCCTGGATTTGATTCCCACCACCATAAAAAAAAAAAAAAGGAATTTTTGAGCCCCAACTCCAATCTGCTGACTCAGTCTCAAGAGCAAGCATATCTAGTATATGTAAAATTCTTCAGGTTTTTTTTATTCTTTTTATTTTAAAGGTATTCCATTAGTTTTAAATGCCCAGAGGCGTTATATAGAATCCCGGTGTAGAGTTCCTGTATACACATATCCCATCTTCCCTTAATATTAACATTATTATGACATAATTACCAAAAGTAAGAAACTTGACACTAATACAATACTATTAACTATAGGCTTCATTTGGATTTCACCAGTTGTTCCATTATTATTTTTTTTCTGACCCAAGATCAAATTCAGGATGCCATGCAGGACTGGGGTTTGAACTAGAACTAGGCAGGCTCTTTACCACGTGAGCCACACTTCTAGTCCATCATTTAGTCATCCTGTCTTTTTTGATCTGTGAGATTTTCTCAGCCTTCCCTTGTTTATCATGACCTTGAAATTTTTGAAGAATAGACATCAGTGGATCTCTATGATAGGAATTAGTATGTAGTCTTCTTATGGTGATTATCTATTTCCCTCATTCCATCTACATTTGTTATTTGTCTGTTCTCCCCCACTTATTTGATAGTTTGTACATCAGGGTCCACTCATGACTATTTATTTTATCCTCTGGGTTATCATCCAATACTAATATTTTGTTGCTCAAATTGTTCTAGTTTTGGCCATTGGGAGCTTCAATGTTGGCTAACGTGTCTCTTTCACATGTTTGTTTATTGTTTCCTTACTTTCTATTAGGTGTTCTGGGTTTGTTTCATTTTTTCCCTACTCCCCCTCTAGAATCAACTGTTGCTACTTGAACTGTCATTCTTTCTAGACTCTCTCAATAGACAGAGCTAGAAGTGTGTGTGTGTGTGTGTATTAACCCATGTATAAACACACATATTTCCATAACTACCTCTATATATTAAAACACAAGTTCATATTTATATATCTAACTCCAATCAAAGGTTTAATTCTAGCATTTCCCCTTTGCTTATTTGTAACTTCTTTCTCTAATAAGAAGATACCTAGCTAGCATATATACTTATCTGCTCAACTCTAGTATATACACATGCAATTAAAGAATCAATCACCTGTATACCTGTAAGAAACAAGTTCACCAGCCAAGGTCCAGTGTTCTTATACTTTTTACACAGATGTTTTGTCTTTAGCTTCACCCTATTGAGTCAAAACAATTTTCCAAAGTTACTGAGGTCATATCCTTTTCTTTATCACCCCCTTCAATGAGGATCATGTCATGCATTTGTAAAACAATAGGACTCATTTTTCATTGTCCACATTCCATTTCAAGACCCCCCAACATCAGAGTTGAGATCTTGGGGGGTATACAATTTACTTATATGAGAAAATATCTTTCTCTCTCCACGCTCCCAATCTGGTCTTCCATGCCCACCAATAGAATTGTATTTGTTTCCAAATAAACTTATGCAACTTCTAACATTGTAACCATATGATCTAATTGCCTATTATGTGAACCTTCAAAATGAGGTGTAAAAAGATAACATGTTCAAGGAAATAAAGTTTAGTGCTTTGGAAAAATTCAAAAGTAAATTGCTTAAAATAGTAAAACTGCTACTGAATTAGAAAATTGTCTAAGGCAAAAAAAATTAGGAGAAATTAAAAAAATTTAGAAGCATTCTACATTCAAAAAAGGATTTTATATATGCTTTTAAGTTCTCATTCCATTTTAAAGAAACTAAAAGTTGATATGATAGGTAGAATTTATTTCTTTAATTTTAATTAAATTATTTTGTAGTTCTGGGGATGGATAAATTTAGCTCTTAACTAATAAAAACATGAAATTCTACATATTAATAGGATATTATGTGACATTTCAGTACATGTATACATTGTGCAAGATTGTTTTGTTTTTATTTTTGTTTTGGTGGAACTGAAATTTGAACTTGGGGCTTCTTGAAGGTGCAGTCCATTTTG